CCTAAACCCTAAACCCATCATGGTAACTTAATTTAAGTTCCTTAACAGCAACCCAGAAGAGTGTGTCCTTATTGCAAGGTTTGCACAGGAGCCCTTGCCTCGAAAGCCCTATACACCTCATTTGAGCTGTAGTCTAAACTCCTTTAAGGGGGGTTATATAGGGGATTATATAGGGGACTTCTTTAGGGGATATTAAGGGGGATACCAGGAGTTTAGACTACAGCTCATTTAAGGGACACACCTTACATGAGGCTAGGATCCCTAGTGTGCTTGAAGGTATAGTCCGTAATCAAAGGGGTATGGGGCTCCTCATAGGAATCTCTAGAATGGATCTCCGTAGCGATCCCTATAAACAGCCCGCTAATTCTACCCATGTTCCTCCATTGAGGGTGTTGGGCCCTAGGTACATACCCTAAACCCTAAACCCTAAACATCCCCTACGCCCGAGATGCTGGGCCTCCAAGCCCCGCTGGTTGCTGGCAAGGAATGAAATGGAACATGACATGAAAGCTGGGGCTATATAGGGATTAGAAACACTAAGCCCTAAACCCTAAACCCTAAATATAGGGGAATGGAAAAGGACATGGCAACTACATTATCATTGCGCATCGTATGGGGGCTACTATAGAGCCCGAAGGTGGAGAGATGGAGGGAAAAGGAGCACAAGACCTTAAACCCTAAACCTTAAACCTTGGGTACTGCCCCCCCCAGTAACAGTCTATATTAGGGGTCCTATTAAGGGCTATATATAGCTATATGATAAATTTTATCCAACTGTTACTGAGGGGGGCAGTACCCAACTTAAACCCCTAAAGCCTAAACCCCTCAACCTTNNACCTTAAACCCTAAGCCCTAAAACGAGCAGGTGGTTGCCAGCTGCGAGATGTTCCTGAAGGCACCTTGCTTCTGGCAAATTTAGAAGATTTAGGGAATGTGATTAGGGTTTAGGGCGGGTCTCTGAATGTGTACCATTCTAGCTTTTTGGGACCAGTATGGGAACCCTCTAGGTCTATAAGGGGTATATGAGGCTTATGT